GCCGTTCGCTGCGCCCCGGCTCCAGCGAGGACGGTCTCCGCCGCCTCCTGCTCCGACCTTAGTTCTCACCATCCTCCGCTTGCTCCTCAAAAGCATCCCCGGTCCCCACCCGCTCACGCCCCACCCGCGGGAAGGAGGCCTCAGGAATTCAGGGGAGTGGCTGTGGGGGCGCGTCGCGGCTCCCAGCTGGGCCAGCCCCTCTTCCAAGACATGGTCTGATCCCCATTGTAAAAGCTGCGCTCCGAAGAGGAGGACAGAGTGGTCGGTGTTCCCGGATTGGGGCTGCAGGGATCTCGTCGTACTGAAGCCCTGGCATTATTGTAGGGTGGGGCGGAGACGGCCCTGGATTTTGGGGAGTGGGGGTGGGAGGGGAGAAGAACCCGGAGGGGGAAAGGACTCAGTGAGGGAGTCGGTGAGAGACTATGGGGAAGGACCAGGAGCTGCTGGAAGCTGCTCGCACTGGCAATGTGGCTCTGGTGGAGAAACTCCTGTCTGGCAGGAAAGGAGGGATCCTGGGCGGTGGATCTGGACCCCTGCCCCTGTCTAATCTGCTAAGGTAAGGATGGGCAGCAGCTCCAAGATTGCATACCTCCTTGTGCATTGTGATGGATACGTCCTCCTCCTCCTGGTTATTGCACCTGCTGGCTGCCAGCGTTTCATTCTTAAATTAGGCAGGCAAACAGTGTGTATGGAGAGGACGCTTGAGCCTCCCAGTCAGAACGATGCCTTAGATTCTTTGAGTAATTTTAAAATAGCCTTCCATCAATGCGTCAGTAGCTACTTTTCTCTGAGCTGTGGTGCAGAACTTGGACATGTACTCTTGTTGCTGGAAGAAAACCGGCGTTCCACCTGCTTCCCATCAATGTTTGTTATATATTTTCAGCCTGAAACCCAGCATTTTGGTTTTTTTTTTTTTTTGGTCTAGTTAAATGAAATTGACAGAGAAGCTATTGCGTGCATGCGATTATCCTGCAAAAGCCACAGCCTTTGGTTGCTGATACCTTCTCTTGCAGAAGGCATTTGCTCTGCTGTGCATTATGATCCCACAAAATGAAGAAAGTGAACCTTCTGATGAGATGGCATCAGTACAGGGTGTGCATAAAACTTGATGAGGCAGGTTTGGCAACCCCCAGGAGTACTTTCCGTCACCTGGGCATAGCTGAGTGAAAACTTGATTATTTTATATCTCAGGATGAAGGATTGAGATAGTGTATTTGGAATATGATAGAGGCCTTTTAACGTGAAGATGTTGCAGGTGAGACTAATATTGCTTGGAGAATCTAAGGTGACATTTTTTAAAATGTCAAGGTCTTTATTCAGCAGCTAGTACCTCAGAAATAGCAAGGTTGATTTGTATGTTTTTTAAAAAACTATTAAAAGTTGAATTGATGGACAAATGAAATCAGTTGGGAGGGAGGAAGTCTGAAGAATATTTACTAGATAAAATTCAAGGATAGTTCTTTAGTTTTTAAAATCATGGCTTTTCAATTTATCTTGGATATTTCGAGAGGCATTATTCATATCTTTGCCCTAAAACATCTCTTAGGCAACCTAGCTGTACTTGTAAAAAAATTTTAAAGCCCAGGTGATTTTCTTGTTTTGAAGGACTCGTGTGTGTGTGTGTGTGTGTGTGTGTGTGTGTGTGTGTGTACACGCACTACTCTTAACAAGTGTTTAATACAAACTTTTGGATGATATTGTGTTATTTACTCACTTCTCATATGTCATAGTGGTCAGACAATGCAATTAATTACTGTCTTGGCTATTAGAGTAAATGAAAACATTTGAATTACAGTGAAATAAATTTAGTTGGAAAATAGTGATAGGATCCAAAAAAGCTCCATATGTGATCTATATTTGTTGACAGTGACATTTTATTGAAATGGCAGTTTACTTTAGAACAACGAATATTTATGGGACTTTTTTTCCCCCTAGGTCTTAGAAGTGATGACTCCTTTGTTAAATAACTTTCACTTTCACACACAAGTAGACAATGTGAACATACTTCAGATTGTAGCTCTAGTAATTGCACTTAGTCACTGGTAATTTATACAGAAGCAGTATACCTGGTTACAGTTTTAAGTTGCAGATAAAATAAATATGTTTGCCAGAAGATCATGTTAGTTATAAAAATCTTGGCTAGAAACCTATATGCTGAAAGAGCTTTCTAAAAATAATCAGTTCCTTTGGAATAAGACTAAAGAATTCTTTGAAAACAGGAAGAACTTCAGTTAATTTCATTGAGATAAATGGTATTTTAAGAAGCCCACTTTTGTGATAGAATTTAAAGGGAAATATCTTGTAAATACTTTCTCAGTTGTACCTTTTTAAAAAAAGAATAGATGTCAAATTTTAAGAATAAAGTACCAACTACTTAATGTTGGTAGACATTAAGTAAAATATCAAAATCGTGACCCACAATGTACTTCTTGAATGAGAAGTTTTCTCTTTTGCTGGTTTTGTAAGAGAAGGCAGTAGTACAATGCACATAGAAAACAGTGAAACTAAAAGACATGTTCATTAGAGTAGTTTGAACCAAGCTGTAAATTCAAAACCAAAACCAATAAGCTTTAGACTTGGATTTGTCTAACTCATACTGAATAAACAACTAAAACAGTGTCTTTGAAGAAAATGGGCATTGAAATTGTATTCTTTGGATGATTCTTGGCATAAAATGAAATTCCTAAGAGAAGGCACATTTTATTTAGTTGCTTTATATCATAAACGATTGTCATTTATTTACAGAAAAATGTAAAATGTAGCCCCTCCCCCTTCAAACATGACACTTTGAAATTTTAAAATATTTTGAAATGAATTGTGGAATAGATTTGCCTCCCTCCCCCACTTATTACTCGTGTCGTATAATAGTAGTGTTAGATCCTGTGCTAAATGCTTTCATGTATCATCTCATTCAATTCTTATATCACCTTAAGTGGTGGATCCTCATTTCAGAGATGAAGGACTAAAGAGATGGGAAGATTAAGAATTTGCCCAGGGTCACATCATTAGTAATAACAAAGATTTGAAGTTTTGTGAGTCAAATTTGCTTTACCATATCTTAGGTCTTAGTCATTGGATCTGTTTTATTCACAAAATTTTGAACTATATGGTTGAGATAGTCTAATCTGAACTTTTTTTTTCTATGAATAATTTCATTTAAAAATTTTTATATTTTTCTAATTAAAAAAATTTCATGACTGCCCTTCGAGGGTTCACTAGTTAAGAACTTTTGCGAAGATACTTTTGCTTACATGTTACCTACTAAATGAGTGGTGAATCACGTATGCTTGGGTGATGCTGCAATTTTCAGCGAAAGTAAGAATGATCTCGATTAAATGTAAAAATCTCCCTCAACCTCACTGTCTTCTATAAAATGGGAATAGTAATAGTACCTATCATACAGGGTTTTTGTAAGTATTAAGTGAGGTGCAAATCAGTGAGTGCAAAGCACACTGGTGTTCATCATTAGTGGTGGTGTTATTTCTCATGCAGCTCTAAAGCACCAGACTCAATTTCTTTAATGACTATGGATTTGCTTCATATTCGACTGGGAGTAAATTTCTGTAGTAAGTTTTTCATTAAAATCACAAAATCTTCAAACAGAATGGGACCTCTTAATTCCAACTTCTCACCTAGAGGAATTACCTCTAACATTCTTTACCAGTTAGTTTTTCCAGCCCTGTTAAACTCTACAATGACTAGGTCCATACTATTTTTTGACATCTCTAATTATTAAAAAAATTCTGTTATTGAGTTGAAATCCACCTCTCTCTAATTTCCAGCAGTTGGTACCAGTTTGGCTATATGGGTCAGTATAAATAGTCTAATTCATCTGTCAGGACAGTTTTTCAGGTGCGCGCATTTAGCTATGTTGTTTTCTTATAAATCTATAATTTTTCATGGATGTACCATCATTTCATTCAACCTTTTGTCATGTGGCAATCAAGCATTAGGTGAACCGTTATTTTCATACTTTTCACTACTCACTTTTTCCTTTGCATATTCCCAAATTTTACAATGACTCTCAAAATGTGGTGAGCAGAAATGAACAAAATGCACTAGATGTAATTTGACCAGTGTAGAATACACTGAGACTTGACATAATGTTGAATTAAAAAAACAAAAACAGGTTACAAAATAGCATTTGTAGTGTGATTCTATTTTTTTTTTTAAGAAAAAATAAGTATATGAATATTTATAATGTCCATTAAGCAGTCTGGAGTGATAAACACCAAATGTAAATGGTTTTCATCTTTGAGTGGTGGAATTGTGGGTGATGTTTATTTTCTTTTTGCTTACATTTTCCAGTATTCTACAATGAACATGTATTATGTAATGAAAACAAAATAACAACTATTTAAAACATGATACAATGAAATTATTACCTTATTATTGATCTAAGATGTTTCTTAATACAGGTCAAGATTTTCTGAGCTATGTCATGAATGGCATTAGCTCATATTGAGCACAAACTCAATTAAAAGTTCCACGTATTGTTTTTTCAATGACTTATGAAGCCATGGTTCCTGTCTGGTACTTGTAAAATGTTGATTGAACTTAAATCATTCCTATTACATTTCATCTTATTTGATTTACCCTATGTTTATAATATATCTGGATCTTTGTGGATCTTGAGTCTTCCAGAATATTCATTCCTCTCCTCAACATCATCTGTAAGTTTAATAAGCATGTTTTCTATAGCTGGAATTCAGCACACCAGGATACATCTCTTAAAGAACCTTTCTTCAGCTTAGTATAAATTTAAAAGTAGCAATCTTTATGCATGCGTTTCTCCCAACACTGAAGCCACTTAATAGAACTGTCAGCTACTTTTCAATATACCCGTTAGAATATTATGAGGTATTTTATCCACTGCCTTTCTAAATTCACGCTATATTCTGTCATGACATCTTTCGATCTACCTTTTTAGTATTAAATCTATACATTCCACCCAAATCAGTCTACTTTATTAGAGCTTGTTTCTGGTAGTGAACCACTGATGGTACCTAGTATTGATGCAAATTCCTTCTACTCCCTTGCATCTAATTCTTCTGGGTCTGGATACTGAAGCTAATTTAAGGCGGCTAAGTGTCTCTTAGGATCTCTGTTTGTTTGGAGCTTCAGTAATCTGCTAACATTATTTGTTTATCCTTTCTGGTTTGAAAATCATTCTCACTAGGGAAGGTAGAAGCCAAATAGAAGTTGGGAAGAATCAGATTCTTGTTCAATGTCATAGGACATTCTCCTGTGGTCTAAAACCATCCAGTTTTACTGTTTCTCTGTCAGAGCTCAAGGTTGCATTAGCTGCGGTAGCTGAAGCTTAGCTGAAAGGGACATTAGCATTTTTTTCAGGACAAGTATATATTCCTCTTTTGTGTTTGTTTTCAGTTATACCCCTCACTACCCGCTTTCTTTCTTATACTCAAATTGAGTTGCCCTTCTCCTTTTCCTTCTTCCATATGTCATGTGAAATTTCATTTTATTTAACATACCTTTCATGAGACCACTGCAAAACCTTTTAACGTCTCTTTGGTACGATTATCTTTTAATCCAAAC